CCAAGAGCTTTTGAAATTCTGCATTGAACTGGAAAGAGTTGTTACTAAAGGTCTCGTGATGTATGGATTTGGAACTGAGACCGTTGTTTGAAAAAGAGAGTTCGAAATGAACGGTAGCTCTGGGGAAGTTCGTCTTCATTAACCGTCTGTTGACGTCCTGCTGTGGAAAAGAATAAACATCATGAAGTGATTACACATCGTATCAACATCCTTCATTATATGCACTGTTGCAGTATTTGTTTTTTGTAGTGATATTGGTCATACTGCTGCCCCTTGTACTTTTCTAGTGTCCTTATACTGAGTTGACCCCCCCATGACAGCCAAAGTTATGTGGCAGTCAGGGCTTCAGAGCATGGTGGGGTCTGCTGGTGAGGGGGAGATGGAAAGCTGATCAATGAGGGGGAAATGAAGGTAGGTTGATGCTTGGCTGGGAAGTAGATAGGGTTGCCAACTCCAGGTGGGAAAATCCTGGAGATTTGAGAGATGGAGCCTGGAGAGGGTGAAGTTTGAAGAGGAGTGGGACCTCAGACAGGTACAATGCCATAGACTCTGCCCTCCAAACCAGCCATTCTGTAATGGGGAACCACTGTTGCCAATCTCCAGGTGGGGGCTGGAGATCACTCAGAATTACAACTTCTGTCCAGATGGCATTGATCCATTCCCCTGGAGAAAATGGTGGACTCTGTGTCCTTATACCCTGCTGAGGTTGCCATGGCAAAGTGATTCTGAGTGCCCACGGCCTTGGCACTCTCCCAGAGCCTCTTTCTAGCACTCATTGTATTTATTTCCACAATGGGCCTTATTCCTAGTTAGATATAAGATATATTTTATATTAGAAATTAGATCTTAGATAGAGGATATTATCTCACTACAGATGCTAATTTTCTGCCTCCAAGCATTTCCCTTCTGCCCTAATCAAGCTGATTACAATGTGCATTGTACCTCTGCACTCTGAGTTCCTTTTTTGTCCTTAGCCTCAGACTTCAGAGGGGGTTCTATAAGAGAGACAGAGAGACCAGGACACTGACTATCCTTCCTTTTACTCTCTGATGCTATCCCTTTGATGTGTAGATTGCTACTCTCAGGAAAACTTCCTTCCTTTTGGTCTTACAACTTATTTCTACACTATGTCACTCTTCTTCATGTTGGCACCATGAGAGCAGGACATATTTCCTGCATCTCTATCCATCTTAGCTAGTTGGACTAGATTAGAATCCTGTCTCTACTCTTTCCTGTCTAGAATGGAGTTCCTTACAATAAAGGACTCATATTAGTTTTGGAAAGATAAAGAGGCTCCGTGAGTAACTTTGGTTTTGGTCAGCACACACTAACTAGATTGGCCCTGCTGTACTATGAGCCTTGAACATTCTGCTACCCAAATAATACTTCTCTTTGCAACACCTGTCTCACCTGCTGACTGGGATATAAGGATTCAGAGATTTCCATTTCAACTCTTATCTGGCAAAGGAAGTTTTGACTCTCGAAAGCTTATACCCTAAAAATCTTGTTGGTTTCTGAAGTACTACTAGACTCAAATCTAGCTGTTATGATAATTCTCTTTTTAAAAAGCTTAGAGCAAAGGAAAAATGAGGTCTTTGGTTCAGAGTGAATGCAGCAACATTTGAAGTTTAAATAATTTCCATTCCGGTGTGTATTGTTAATAAAGAACAGGCCTTCTTGATGTGGGTAAATTCTGCCTTCATTCCAAAGATGCCATTTTGGGTCCCAATAGAGTCTTTATCAAATTGCCTCTCTCCATTTCTTTACATCACAGTAAATTCCTATAGATTTGCTGATTATTTTCTTTACAAGATATTTTCTTGTTACTACACAGTGATGAAAAGGCTAAGCTTTATAGGCTCTGATTTCATAAGATTATGCAGTGTGGTTTCCAAGCCATTGGCACGACTTTTGTGGTGGTGGTCTTTTTTTAACCCGCAATTCAGCAGGTGTATTTAATCGCCACCAAGCACATAAACATCAAGGACAAATAAGCGAAACTTGCATTTCATTGTAACTACAGATAAGAAGTGCAAAAAGACTGAACTTTTATGAGCATTAAAATGAAGCAGTGCTGAAAACACTACTGAATGGGGAAATCCTCTGTCATGGAGAAAATTAGGCAAAATATGCAATTACTTGGAGTCATATTTCACTAGAATGGTGCGTCAGCAAAGCTAATTCCCTACTCTCAAATCGAGCGGTGGATTTAGACATTCTTCTGCCTTTTAATACTTTGTAATTATTTTCTTCCTCCAGAATCTCAATCTGGAAACAGACCTGACAGCTGCAAATGGAAAGAAAGTCAAAGCACTTGAAATATTTGCTTATGCTCTGCAATACTTTAAGGAACAAGCATTAAAGGTAAAGCAACTCTTCTGTCTCCTGTTCTTTATATTTATAATAACCATGACAGATGCTGAACTAACTTAACCTTGCCAGTCTTCAGCCTGCAGTAGTATTTGATGTAAACAAAGTTTAGCAGCTGTAGGAAATGAAGGCAAACTGATGGTGCTGAAGTGTTCTAGATTCTGTGCATGACCTCCTTCCTTACCATAAAAAACATGTGCAGAATTCTGTCATATACATGGTAATGGTGATATTTGGGGTCTGTAGCAATCAACACAAGTAGATTTTGCTATGTATTTCATTTGTCTATTACCAGAATATTTTCTCAGAGGGATGAAATCTCTTGAAGCCAGCCCCCATTTTTCTCTGTTCAGAATCTGTTTCCAGAAAGAGTTCTCCCCTTCATTCTTTTCCCATGCAGAGAGACCCAGTCCTAATGCATCTGTTCTGTCGAGTTTGTCTTACCAAGCAGGAGAACAACAATGCAATATTTAACAAGTAGCTCTGTCCAACCAGCAGCAATTCACCTGTTCCCCAACAGCCAGCCTGCCTCCACTACTCACTTCTTCTTCTCTATGCTAGTGTGGATGCTTATGTGGTGCTGAGTACTTATCTGTGTAGGCAGGTGGTGGCCAAACTTAGTGAATCCCTGTTGCACTCTTTCAACAGGTCCATTGTAGCACCTCAGATTGGGAGGGAAAAGTGGCTTTGATAAATTTTTGCCTGTTTCTAAAAAGTTGGTATAGGCTGGGTCCACTGTTCGAGGCGGGTCAGCGCTGCTGTTGTTGCTAGACTTCACAGCAGTGTTCAATATGGTTGACTATAATCTTTTGACCCACCACCTCGCCAACATGGGAGTTTGTGGGGTGGTCCTTCAGTGGCTTGCCTCATTTCTCCGTGATCGAGGACAGAGGGTGGCTCTGGGAGAGAGTGTGTCCTGTAGGCATCCCTTAATGTGTGAGTTCTCTCAGGTGGTGCTCCTCTCCCCGATGCCATTTAACATCTGTATGCATCCCCTCACCCAGCTGGCATGGAGTTTCGGGCTTGGATGTCATCAGTATGCTGATACCCAGCTGTGTCTGTTATTGGACAGCCACCCAGATGCCGCCCTGGAAAATCTGGCTGCAGGTTTGAAAGCTGTGGAGGGGTGGTTAAAAAAGAGCAGGCTGAGACTGAATCCAACTAAGACAAAGGTTCTATGGTTGGGGGAGGGTTCAGGGATGGGACATAGTCTTTCTGCTCTTGACGGGGCACCATTAATACAGCACAGTCCATCAAGAGTTTGGGCGTGATCTTGGATGCCTCCTTCACTATGGAGGCCCAAGTCATGCATATTGCCAGGCTGGTGTTTTTTCATCTGTGCCAGGCTCGGCAATTGGTCCCTTTCTTGTCACACCCTGATCTAACCAAGGTGTAATCCATGCAATGGTCACCACCAGGCTAGACTACTGTAACTTGCTTTATGCTGGCCTGCCCTTGAGACTGACCCCAAAGCTTCAACTGATCCAAAATGAGACAGCAGCGTGAGTCCTGACGGGAATGCCATGGACGGCACACATACAACCTATGCTGCTCCAGCTGCACTGGCTTCCAATGGAGTACCAAGTCAGGTTCAAGATTTTTGGTGTTGATCTTTAAGGTTTTGAGCAGTCAGGGACCAATGTATCTGCAGGACTGTCTCCTCTGGTATGTCCGCGGGAGAGTGTTACACTCCTTGGATAGCAATCTGCTGGTGATCCCCAGCCCCAAAGATATCTGGCTGTCCTCGGCCAGGGCCTTTTCAGTCCTGGTGGAACTCTCTGCCGAATACCATCAGGGCCCTGTGGGATCTTATGCAATTCCGTAGGGCCTGTAAGGCAGATATGTTCCGTCAGGCTTTCGGCTGAGGGTAGCAACAGTTTCCACTCTGGCTGGCACCCTCTCCTTGCTCTCCAGATTTGCTTTGTTCTTTCCCTACTCATGAGGTGGCCGAGCAGTCTGGAATGGGAAGTAATGTGTAGCTCACCATTTGGATTCTTTTAAATCTGTTGTACTAGTGTTGTCTATGTATTTTATTTTTACGTTTTTCAGGTTTTTATCTGCTGTTGTACATCACCCAGAGTCCTGTGGTCGCAGGGACTGGGTGATGCAAAATAATAATAATAATAATAATAACAATAACAACAACAACAACAAACCATACCAACAACAACAACATTCCACACCTGATTACAAGTAACATTCCACTTATCTGCAAGTTTTCAGCATCATAGACTTCAACAGTTAAATTTCACAGCATTACTATGCACAATATCCCAGTGTTCAAATCCCAGTGCTGGAGCACCAGCTCTGTATTCCACTTACAGTAAGAGAATTTCCCTGGCATGTTCTATTTATACTTTCAGAGTTTTAAGTAGTATGATTTTTAGAAAATTACTTTTTCTGCTTTGAATATATTTACATTATTCTGTTTCATCATTATCTCTCCCCC